AATTTTATGTTGATGAATATTTTCTAAATCCGATACTTTTGTATTTGCTTACTCAATTTGAAATGTCCTTCTAATATATCAATAATCATTAATTCGGAGATAAACAATGCGACTTTCAAATATAAACAACACTGTAACTACAATGTCATAATATTAAATGAGCAAGATTGATAAATAACAGTTAGAATATTATACTTGTACTATTAGAAGTATGAAAAATTGCAATTAATAATGATTCAGATTTCATTCTACTAAAATAAAACAATGATACAGTCGTTTTCTACTCAAAAATATTCATAAAATATTATTTAAAAAAAAAAAAAACAAAAACGAACAACAAACAAACAAACTGTAACAAATGTTTATATTTTCATAAGATCGAATAAATTTACTAAAATTAAGGATAACTATTTATAATTTAGTATAATTTTTATATTATAGTTTTTTGCTTATCAAATAAAATTTCAATATTTCTTGAAATAATGAAGCAATTAAAGCACTTTCTATTTTAATATTATTTAGTATTAATCTCATTTTATTTAAAATTTATAATTTGAAAACTATTTAGTCGATACTTTTTAATGATGCTTAGTCACATTAATTTTACAATAACAATTTTTAAAGCTAATATTTGAATATTATTGATGTATTCAGTTCAGCTACTTATATTTCTATTCTTAACATATTTATATATTTAGACTTTGTTAAATCAATCTTATTTTAAAATTATAAAACCTATTACATTTAAATTTTCTATAATAATATACCAATAATAAGAAAATGATTCTATTTTTTTGTATTTATTTATTACAGATGATAACTGAATAACTTTTAATCTTATTTACTATGAATTATATAATAAAGCTAAACTAATTTGTTGTTTCCAATTTAATTACAGCTGGATTAATTAAATTCTAGTAACTGTTGATCACAAAATATAAATTTGTAGACATTGAAGTATCAGAATGAAAAAGAGGATTGTGTTTATAAATTAATTATTAAAATCTATAAAATTATATTTTTATTTTCATATCCCAAATTATTATCATATTTAATAATATATTATACTTTTTAATGTAAGAGAATCAGTTTATCAGACTTATGATCTTCTGTTTAATTTATTTTTCCTTAAATTTTAAACAATAAACACTTTTACTTGTTATATTAATCAGTGTCATTATCAATGACATTAATTTAAACTCAATGTCATTATTTACTTTACCGTATATTTAAAGGCAAAGTAAATATAAGAAGTATAATGAACAAAGTCCATTATTGCATGAATAAGTGTATATCAGGTAGACATAATATGGACTATTAAATAAATAAGCTTATTAATTTCGTTTTCACGTAACAAATATAATTTAAGTAGCGAAAGATGAATTTTGCATGTTTCCTATTTAATTTCGATAAAGACACAAATACATCCAAAATGCTTAATAATATTTATACTTATTATTGATATTATTCATCTTTCGTATGATAATCGTTAATAATTTGTTAAAGCAAACGAAATATTGTTATTCATATTTTTTGACACTTTAAAGTAATGAAGTGGAATATAAAATTTTCCAATTCTTACATAAATCAAACTTTACAAAAAACATATACTTTTTACTATGTATATATATACAATAATTACCTATTTTTTTTCCTTTTTTTTTTTTTTTTTTTAATTACCTATGCAAATAAATAATACACTTGATATGTTATTTTATTATATATTATTATATTTATACTTTCGTGTAACGTTCGTCGGCTTAAATAATAACGTTACTCCTCTACGATTCATCCCACATTCGTAATTTATTCGACTAAACGACCGCTTTATCGAACATTTCGTCAGTTTAACAACTGTTCTAATTTTTTGTTTATTTCATATCCAAAATTACCTTTTTTATCATTCACATGGCTATCTTATACCACCAACTGAACGCCCATTAATTATTTACACGACGTTGGTTCCCCATCCCCTAACCAATATATTACCAAAATATACTCATACTCGCATCTATGTAACCTTTAATTTCATGCCAAAAACACAACGACCTGCAACACTATTCCGGTCGTGATACGATAGCACTAACAGCAACTGGTGATTACTTACTACCAGCCGACTTCAACTAAATACTCTGGCTAACGAATACCACGGCAGAAGTGTAGGAAAGTGATAAATACGTGTAAGCGAGGTAAATTAGAGTGCGAAAGCCGGTTTGGCTCTCCGACGTGATTACGTGTCTATGTTCTTTGTAAATGGCCAATCGCTAGTTCATGATTAACATAATATAATACTTCAACATTTTGCCGTTGATTTTGGATTGCTGGTAAGTTTTTGATAATTTGCAATAGTCTTATTGTAGCAATGGAGAGTATTGATATCAAATTTTTCTTCGGGTTAAGATCATTGTACCTAACCTTGAAACCATATCGACGCCATTAATAATTATTTACTCTTTTCCTTTTCATCTATTTACGTGCTTGGACCTTTTCATTTAATTTTTATTCATTTGCAGGTTAAGTGTAGATTTTCAGTGTTAACAAAAGATTAATTGTATATAATAATAATAATATAATTGAATATGTTTCATCAAATTACACGTCATGCTTGCGACTACATTATTAGGAATTCAATAGGATAATTAATGTAAAGTATATTAGAAGTTTTGACAATAACTATTCTTAAATTGTTCGAATACTTGTAGCAACATTTCCTTTCTTAAATAAATAAAATATTATTATTGAAGTTTATGAAGTTAATATTTAACAATACAATTAGTATATTAGAATTAGTATATTTTTATCATTATTAATACTCATTATAGTGATTATATATTGACTAATATTATATAATATTGACAATATTGTTAAAAAAAATTCATTTATACAATGATGAGTTTTTGAATTACTCTAGTAAAAGATGAAGCGAGCAATTTATTTTAAATTAATTGGCATTGAAAAATTATTGTAAGAATTCAGTCGGTTATAATCTAGCAATCTACCATCATATCAAAATTCATAACAATATATATATATATATATATATATATATTTATTTATAATAAAAATTCTATAATAATGTTATTGATTGCTTAGTAGTATGTGCACAAATAGAGACTAAAATTTTTAATAGCGCTGAAGGTCCTTATAGAATGATTTCATAAAATGGTAATACCGATATTCTCATAAGATTAACTTCATTTTTTTTTTTAAATTTACTTTAATAATTGTTGAATTAAATATTTGACAAAAATTCTTTTACATTCAATGTATTTAATAATTTTTATTTTACTCACAATTTTAATTTCTATACAATAAGTTTTTGAATAATAAAAATGACAATTATTATACTTATACAGAGGTATAGTATAAGTATAGTTAACGAAGTGAAATTTCAGCAAATAATATTTGTATAAATAAAATAAATAGTATATAAAAAAAGAAGAGGTTTCCTTAAAAAATGCTTTTGCCGTGTGATTAAACTACATTATAATTTATTTTTATTTAAGTATAAATATCTTGCTGTGTTTAATAAATAAAATGAGCATCTTTAAAACTTATTAGATTAATATTATAAAATCAAATCTTTTAAAAAATAACATGCAGTTTATTAATCCTTGATTAAATGTTTTAAAAATTTACTCTTTTTGACTATTATAAATAATGTTAAATTATTCAATCTACCATTTTTAAAAGTATATATTTTAAAAGTATAATTTTATTTCTAATTAATTTATTAGAAACATATTGAGATTTATTGAGATAATACTTTATCTCTTAAATGAAGTATAGTTTCAAAGGAATTCAGTACTTTAAATGCTTAAATTTTCATTTTTCCTCTAAAATAAAAAAATCTAAATATATAAATTTATATATTATTTATTGAAAAATTCATATGATAAAAACATCAATTTTAAAGTTTCTTACTGTAAATTTATTTGCTCTATTATCAAATTTTTATAAACAATTTATGAAGTTAACTTCAAACATTACATTGCTTTCACAAGTCAATGATCTTTAATAAACGTTGTTTCACAAATGTACTCAAGTTTTAGAAGAGTAATTAATATTTACATTACACGATTTATCACCATTATTTTTCTTAATTTATGAAAATCATTTTTTAATCGTATAAATTTTACTTTTTAACGTAATTGAAAATAATAAATTACTGTAACAAATTTTTTAAATAAATTTTGATTCTTAATTTGTTGAATTCATTAAATTGACTTCTTTTTATTTTTCATGCTATCATATATATATATATATTAATAACAAGAATTTTTATTTTAATTTGTACTATATAGAAATGAATTTGCGTAAGTTTAGTTACATAAGTATAATTCTTAATAAAAAGCTAATTATTAATTTATAAACTATATTTTATTAATGTTAGATACTAAATTTGTTTATAAAGGTTTGATCAAAATTGATAAATATAGTATGTGAAATTAATATATTTGTATTTTACTTCACTTATCTCTTAATTTCAAAGTTCTTATATAAAACTTTGTTTATCTTAAATCAATAAAATATAAGATGAGATATATAAAAACAGAAATGTACGTATCGGTTGTATCTATTTGGATCTTGCAGGCAATATTTTTTTATTTGAGCGATACTAATTTTGTAATAAATATTTATGAAATATACAAGCGTACGGTAAGATTGACTTGTAATTGGAAAAATAAAAATCTGCTGATATTAAACATTATATTAATAATTAATAAAATTTTAGGAAAGCTTAAATATAATTTTAATTAGAACAAATACATATATTTTTTTCAATCAAATAATTGATTTATTCAAACATCTTTGCTCATTTGTCTTAAAAAATAGATCTCTTATAGTATTAAATTGCCTTCTCGCTAGTCCTATTATTTTCCAAGTTGGCGTAGGCTTTAGTATATATTTTCTATTCCGAACTCTTCCTTGTCCTAAGAATTCTCCCTAAGACACTCGAATTATACAATTTCAATCCTTTCTCGTTGTCTATTAGTTACGAGTTGTCATTCATTTCTTTGCATTCAAGGTTATAACCTATAACGACTTGGGAACTCAAGCTTCACTAATTCCGAAAGATCGGATATCCAGTCTTAGCCCTTGCAAAGCCTCAGGGCACGGATTTGGGTTAATTCTCACGAGACACCTCAAGCAGATATAAACCTATTCTCTCAAGAAGCCTCCTTAACCCAACCATGGATACAAGGTTTGCCGATCTTTTTAGTTTGAGCTTTTTTTTTTTTTTTATCATAATTTATAGATAAAGTATATAATTCTTTAAAAATGAAATTAATAACTTTTAGTTTATTTGTACGAATTTTTCGAAAGAGTTAATGTTTTTTATAGACTAAAATATTTAAATGTACATTAAGCTGTAATTTAATTTCTAAAAAAAATTATTAACAAAATATATTTTTATATTAGTAGTAGTTATTTATTATGTTTTTAATCAGATTCAAGTGATGCTTTTAAGATAAATGGCTATTTTCATTTAGAAGTTAAGAGTATTATTTATCCAAAATATTCTTAATTTTCATAATTATATTATTATAGGTAGTATTTAATCTGTTACTATAATTTTCATAATATACTTTAAAACAATAGATTATTAGTATTTTAATAATCATGCTATATTATAAAAAAATTAGTTAATTACAATACAATTTATATTTGCAGATAAGATATGACTGATATTAATAGCTGTGTATTATCAGCATTTATCAGTTATAATATCTTTACTAATGAATATTTTCGCATTTTACCAATTTAAAAGAAAATACTTACTTGTACGTTTCGTAATATGCTAGTTTTTCTTTTCCAAAGGCTTGACAATAGTTATAATTGAATAAAATTTAAATGTATTAAAATCGCATTAAATAATTTGTGAATTACATTTTAACTATAATAAATTGTTTAATAACTATTTCAGTTAATTTTTGATATTTTAATAAATATATCTAAATATACAAAATTATTATTAAATAAATAAAAAAAAAAATTTAATTTAATTCTTTGAATTTTATGCAAAGAAAAACAAACAAAAATATTTATCGTATTTTTAATAAATCCATATATTTTATTTCTCTTGTTACTTTCATAATACTTAATTAATACTAGATTTTCTAATAAATATCCAATTAACCAAATATCTATTGTTCAATTTATGTATGCAAATAAAGATTTTAAATATTCGAAATTCTAGTTAAAATAATTTATCCAAAAATTTAAATCAGTTGTTTAATATGCTAATGTTCTACCTCAGCAATATTTCTTTTAATATTCAACAAACAATTCTTTTAATACGACAAATAAATATAACACATTTATTATAATGTATATGTAATGAATAATAGGATTAATTCATTTTTCGCAGGCTACTTATTTTTGTAATCATGTTTTTTATAAAAACATGTATCAACAGTACTTCACCACTATCAAATTTATTATAGTGTATTGTTATACAGTATATAGTTATATAGTCAAACATTATAATATTTAACTATAATATTTATTATAGTTATAATAAAAAGTGAAAAGTTTTCAATTATATTAAAATTATTATAGAAATTTATTATATGTATTATATTAGGGTTAAGATCATTAAGAACCAGCACCAGAATTCTTTTATTCCAGATTATATTTATAAATTAATGAGATATTAATTATCTTATTATAATTAAAAAGTAATCTAATGAGATGTTTGAAACAGGATAAGTTGTTGTTTTAATGTCGGTTATTTTCTAATGACACTTGCCTTTTTTCATGTAAATATCCCATATTAAATAAACGGAAAAAAACGTAGTTTTTCCTAATATAAATTAGAAATGGTTTTTTCCATCATCCTTTTGATATAGTAAGTTGACCTAAATGAACAGTAATATGATAATTATTTCCGAAACCACTGTATTGGGCTGAAAAGATACTTAATGTTTCTTTATTGTATGTTAAAATTAAGCAAATATAATTATGAATCAGGAAAAAACTAGTAGAAGTAGAGAACAGGTAGAGACTGTCGGCTGTACTTATGTATTAATAATATTTTACGCTGATATAATGACTACTATAATTATAATGATAACTATAATGAATACTAGAATTTTATTTATTTTATGTCAATTATGCTATTACATTATATTAGTTTATCGTACGTTTTTTATTAGTATTTCATTTATTTCATAAAAAATTAATTAGAATTGTTGATTATATTATTATTAAAGTAAAAGATACATTTTACATGATTTTAGCGAAATTTAAACAAATTAATTTTCGTATAAAATTTATAGCATCATAACTATTGTCTTATAAGCTAAGTAAAATCTGACTTTCACTGAATCATGCTTATATACCGATAATATAGAAAAGATGATTACACACTGAAGCATTTAATTTAATTAATCCATAATTAATATAAAAATGATAAAAAAAAAAAATAATTTTAAAAATTGCCCAGTATGCGTCAAAGCTGATAAATACATAAGTATCATTGACGTCAATGGCACGTAATTTTATATTTGCAGAAATAGATTACTGACATCGATAATAAATAAAAACAGATTTACCATTTTATACTGTACAAATGGTATGTTAATGTAAGCCTAAAAAATGGCCATGAATTTCTCAATAAAAAATATTTTATTTTATTATAAGGTCATTATTAATAATAGATAAATTCTAAAACTATCTTATGTTTTCTATTAATTTGAAAAAGCATTAATATATAATTAATAAAAAGTATATTAATAAAAATCATAAGAACTCTATATGAATTTAATATATATATATATGTATAATTAAATTAGAAAACTTATGACAAATGTATTGAATGTAGCGTAAAAAGATATGGTAAAACATTAATATTTCTCGATTTTTTCTAGCATAGACTTATATTTTTATGGTGCTTGTAACGACGTTTTCCTAAATAGTACCATAGTTCTGTTTTTATTTTTTCATATTATCTAGTCTATTTTATGGGTGGAAGAATCATATTTAAAATTACCATTTTTTAGTATTAATTTTTCGTTACTTTTACCATACAAATATCGGACGTTACATGTATTCATTCTCTATCACTCTATTTTGTAAAAAAAATGCTTTAATGATAAATGTGTTATTTTTTCCTATTTCTCTCTAATTCTTTTCCTTCAAAAGTAATAAAATTTTAAAAAACTAGAGGGAAAAAACTTTTTTTTACCATTTCAGCCTCTCATAACACTTTTGAAAAACAAAACAAAAAAAATTAAGAATAATTATTCTATGAGGCACACTTGATCGGTATAACGCACGTACGTTACGATTAAAAACGTGTCTTAAGATGTCTGGGATTGCTATGATGATATCTGCATTGGCCAAATTGGAAGCGAGATGCTGCTTTGCACGGAAAGGACGCCTAAGTGTTGAGAAATGGCAACAGCAATACACGAGTGGCAAATGCATAGGGAAAAGAGAGCTGCACTTTAGTAACTTCCAGTCTCTTCGGCCTTCTCAAGTGGCTAACGCTAACGTTAATGCTGTTGCGCTTTACAGGCAGACAATTACAAATGGAGACGGACAACAGCAGCTGGCAAATCACTACTCAACGTACTGTATGCATTCATATATGTGCTTTTTGCTTACTTGTCGCATTGGGAAAGTTGGATGATTTATTAATGATTTGAAATATATGTTGTTTTACTTATACAGCAGAATATGAATTCATTTATTAAATCATTGAAGTATGATTTTTATATGTCAATGATTTTTTTTCTTCTTTTTTTTTCTTTTTTTTAAAATTTTTCTCTAATCGAGATTTTCTCCATATTTTTCATTGGTTTTAACTTATTAATGTAAATATACAAGCTTTCATGTAAATCTATTAATTGGTAAATTTTCAACGTTACTTAGTAATGACTTATTAATTTAATGGAAATTTTGTTCATGTTATTAGCTATTCATGTACAAAATTAAAAAATAGTGAAGCCTTGAATCTGATAAATAACGAAAATGTGGAAGTATTATGACGCGATTTGATGAATTTTACGATTGCAATTTAATGTGAGTCATTACATGCCCGAGACGGAAATGACTTACGTCGTAACTTCTATTAACGGATGATAAGTAACGTTTTCTTTTAATTGTTTTTACCAACGGAAAAATCGTAAATCTCGTAGCCATTAATAGATAGTTAATGTCTTTGTCTTTTTTAAGACATATTCTTTAAGTTAAGTTTAGACATTCGATCGTTCATTTTATGATTTTATCTTTTTTTTTTTTTTTTACTAATGTATAATAGTAAATTCATGACGCATTAATGATAACGTGGTAGTAAAAAAAATTACTATTATCGCGTGAATGGTTCCATGTTGAAACGTTGAAACATTCCTTGCCAGAAACCATGTAACATTATTTAAGTATGCGTTGCTCTGGTATTTACCTTGTATCTAAATGTGATACATTTGCCGTATATCATAAATTTTATTGATTTCATCGTTAATAAATTGATTATATATATTTTTTTTTTTCAATAAATAGCTTTACATAAATGCGACATTTCCGTACATAACTAATTATTTTTATATTAATGTACACTTTCTAGTTGATGTATATTATAAACCTAAAACGTAGTTATATAGTTTAAGGAATTCATAAATTTAAAATAATAAAGAAATTATTAAACCATAAAGTTATGTTAAAAAGGAGCACAAATTATGTAAGCAAAAGTAACTAATAGAGATATAACAAAACAGATCAATAATTTTGTCTATTTTCGTTACGCATACTTAATAAAAATGAGACATCTTAGTTAATTAGCTACGCTGAATATATTGAATATAAAACAGATTTAACTTAATTTCATAATTGTTTATTATAAAACCATTTTGTATTTCTTACTTTATTTAAGAACTAAATCAATTTTTAATATATATAAAATTTACATTATATTTTTTCCTTACAATTTTCAATATTAGCATATTTTATAAATTTCTGAGATATATCTAATAATTTTTATTAATTATTCATTTTGAGTATGTCTAAAGTAATTTCTTGTTCGAATGTTTCGAATAAGAACACAAATAGAATGTAATAATACCTCATGGAAATAACGTATTAACATAATATCTTATTTATATTATAAGTAAATGTTAATATGTAATAATGACAGATAAAAAATGTTAGTACATTTTATATATCATGAAGTGATTATATAATGTTGCTAAGCAATGCAAATATATTCAACGATCATTTTAATTTATTCAGACTAAAGATACAATGTAAAGTAATATAGAAATTTATTTATAATCAATACATAGTGTGGGTCTCTAAATGTTAGTTTACCTTTCAAATTTACATTAAATATATGTTATGAGTATGCGGATTTTATATCGAACCATTAAATTGTTCTTAAAAAAAAAAAAATAGTCCTTAAATTACGACTTTAGTTAATTAAAATATACGTTCAAAAGAATTAATAATTGTAATTATACTTTTGAAAAGTTTTTTAATCTATTGAGCAGCAAGTTTTTATATATTAATAAATTTTAAATCAAAATAAAAATTAGGTAATAATAATATATATATTTCATAAACATTTATTATTCTATACCATTTTTAATTTCTTTAGATTAAGTCAACTCAATCTCTATAATTCAATGTTCTAATTCCTAATGTAGTTTATTTAAAAGCTTTTTTTTTCAAATTAAATTTTTTTTTAATTAATTTACTTTTTCCTTATTTTTCATCGAAACACTTTTTTTGGTCTGAACGATGAGTTCTAAGGGTTGTAAATCATTGATGTATAAAATGTGTGCTGTGAAAAAACCATTATAATAAGCACGTTTCAATTACGTGCTGATGTATGTTGTTCCATTCTATAGCGAGTCATATCCACCACTTATATTGTATCTGTTTTATTATAATATTTCATAAAATTTCTTAAAATGCGCATATGCTTTACTTATTTCTGTAGAGATTTAGATGTAATGGTAAGATACGGCATATCTTTATATCCATAGTTTTATCAAAACAAGAAACATACTATTATATTAAAACTATTTTTATTATTAATATTATTTTTCTTTCAATCTTATAGATAAAACCATAGAGTTATGCTTACAGTTTTCCCACTTTTTATCACTACAGTTTACACTTTTTACGACAGATTTTACAGTTTTTATACTTTTGCTATTATGCATTTAGATATAGAAATTTTATCTACAAACAATAATTGTATGATCTGTTACTTGGCAATTTTATATGTTTTATAGATATTACAGAAGTTATAATTACTGAGTAGAGGTTCATTCGAAGAATCTTATACATGTGAATCTTCTTGCTTATATAAAAAGTTTCTACTATCATATTTCTTATATTCTCAACTGAAGCAATTGATTAATTAATCATTGCATTTTAATTACTAATTTATTACACCTTCTATAATCATTGTGTCATTCCCTAATATTTGTTTTTCATAGCCAGAATACATTAGATTATACAATCGATGCTTTGTAATTATTTTTATAAATATTTCTAAAAAGTAATGGAAACTTGTAATCAGCATTAATAAAAATCAACATTAATGATGAAAGTTAATAGTTATCAACAATTAAAAAAAAAATGGTGTATTTATATATAGAACTTTTGTATTCTCATTAATTATATAGTATTTATTTATATAGTAATTAATTACAATTAATCATTGTAAATAAATATAGGCTAAATTTAGTATTTACGTTAATAATTTTTTTTATACGCATTCCATAAATTATTTTTCGTAATCCAGCCAAGACTGTGTATTCTTCAGTATTTGTCATATTGTCAATAAAATCAATTCTAATAGTAGAAAAATTTTATTATCCAAATAATACATAAAACGTAAAAATTACGGGAATTATAAGTTATTAATATATTACAGTACTCGAGGACAGTAGAAGCAGTATTTTATAAATTTGATATTAATAATTTTATGTAAATGAAATTAAAAAGAAAAACAAAACAATTAATAAAATCAATAATTGAATTTATAATTTCATGATATTATTTGAAAATTATAATACATTCTATCATTTTTATTTCAAAACTAGTTATTATAATTAATGTACGTAAAAGTACACTAAATTTATTAAAAATTATACGAAAACTTATCTTCGTATGTTGTTGATTTTTATGACATAAAGTACTTATTACAAATACGAAAGACTCCCTGATTTATATATTTCTATCACATTTAGAAAACTTATCTAAAATTGTTTTAAGTCGATTTTTTACTTCATAATTTCAACTTTAAATATTTATCTTTAAAAAGGTCTTTTTTGACAAAAATTCAATGTAAAACTGAATATCAAATTTACATGCTCTTAAGATAATTTTATAAGAAAAACGAATGCTCTCATTTTTAAGGGCTACTAAAAATTTTTTGAAAATCGGAACCATCAACATTTTTTATGATTTTTAGCCACTAATACGAAATCAGTGATAGCTTGTTCATTTTAATTATATTTTTTATATTAATATATATTTAAGAAATAATTCTAAAATGCATAAATTATATAATGTAAATGTAGATTGGCAGATAAGTTATATATCATTAATAGTTACATTTGGATTGAAAAAATATTTAGATTGAATATATTTTCTAATTCTTAATACAATGGATATTTGTATTTTTAAATCTAGTAAGAGAAGTAATAAAATAACTAATTCAGGCAACTTTTTTGATTGATTTAAATAGCTTTATACTATTTAATATTGCATTATAATATAAATTTTATTTAAAATTTTATTATGTATACAAATCCTTAAATAACTGTTAACGAAATTATCATTTTTTAAAATCTTCGAAAATGAAATTTGTATAAAGGAGATTGCAATTGACATTAACATTAACATTTTAGTAATAATTAAGATTTTGTTAATTTCTAAAAAATTTTTTCTTACAATAATTTTATTTTATTTTATTTATAACTATTTATCTTTTTACTAATACCAGGCAACTTCCGAAGAGTATTTCATCCTTGATTTTATGTTGTTTTAGAAGCTTTTGTCTACCACAATTCTCTTAGTGGATTTACTTGTCCTCTTCATTAAATTGTTCTTCATGTTAATTTGATTTTCATCAAAAAATCGTATATAGGGTGGACTTATTATTTTTTGTTTAAAATTATTATATAATATATTACATTTGTTCTTTTACCGGTAGTTTTTTTTTTTTTTTTTTGAGAAAAATTGCAATAAATAAATAAATAAAGTACTCGAAATGAAATTTTCGGCAAACGATACATTTAAAAAAAAATTTTTTTATGTCCGTATGACTGTGTGATTAAAAGTTATCATAGGTCATAGATGCTATAAAGTATATGAAACATTCAAAAAAACTTAATGTGAAACAATTGTCAGGTAGAATTATTATACATTTGATTAAAAATTTATTAATGTTATATTAATAAGTTTCATTTGTCAAATAATTCTACAAAATGGATTTGAAATTATTTATAATCAATGTGATTAGTCAGAAAATTGTTATTATATAACACTAATAATAATAATAATTATTATTATTATTGTTGTCAATTTAAATGATATCTAACTACTAGACAATGAAAATT